TGTATTTTTTTAGAATATGATGCTATGTAATATAAATTTTAATACAATCATCGATTCATTTATTCAACAAATAGTTCAATGCCCACTATCTATCAGGAACGGCTTCATATGCCTGGGATACAACTTTGACCTTAACAGCCCAAAGCCCCTGTGCTCATGTGCCTGACATTCTGGAGGCTTCCCAGAGTGAGACGCAGCCACCAGAGTGTTTTTAGTGAAGACATGACACACCCTGACTGACATTCTCAGGATCGCTGGTTCCTGTGGGGAGAATAGTCCTTGGCTGGCAGGTGAGGGGGTGGCACTAGTGCCACAATCAGGAGAGGGTGATGGGGATTAAGGGGAGAAGAGGGTCTGAAGGGTGAGAGAGACAGAGAAGGGCTGGAGAAGCAGTGGGGAGGGAAAGAGGCAGAGGTGAAGGATTCTAAAGCAGTGGGACTGTCAGGTTGAAATATGCTGTCACATAGATTTTTAATAAATTATCTAGGGCCTATCAGGGTGTTCTGTGGAGTTCCCTAAAACCTAATTGCCTCCTTATGTTAATCAGTTTAAAAATAATAATATTCCCAGATAAAATATGCACACAGGTTAGATGTGAATTATTCACAAAATAAGGGGATGCAAGAACATTTTAACTGCATCGAACACTTGTAACTTTGAGGTTGTACATGCTGGGAAAGTAAGATTTAGGAGCTTTGAGAGTTTGAGTGCAGTGCTGTTTAGACACATTTCTGTACCCAGGGGCCCAAGTCACGATTTTACAGATTAGCTTCTTGATGATCAGGGGTTTCCAAGATTGTCACCCCCTGTAGTTAATAAACGAGACAGGGTTCTGTGAGAATCTCTATGTGATGTTTTCAGGCACAGGTTCTCCACGATTAGAGAGAAAAGCCCTGTGCTTCCTCTAGTCCCAGGGAGAGCTCACTCTGGAACCAAGTTCCCTGGGGTGTCTTCTTCCAGAAGAGTCCAGGGGGAGAGGTAAAGGATGGGAGGCAGGGCGTCCATTTCAGGGAGAGGGATTCCGGGGAGAGAAGAGGAGGGAAAGGGGCTGAGCCCAGCCTGGTTTCCTCAGACAGCCCCTGGGCCAGGACTCAGGAAGACAGCCTGACACAGGCTCGGTGCAGGAGGGGTCAGGGCACAGTCCCAGGTCCCCTGAGGGCGGAGTCCCGGGCGGAACGCTCAGTGTTGGGGAGTCCCCACCTCCCCGCGGTTTCACTTCTCCTTCCACAACCTGTGTCGGGGCCTCCTGCCTGGAAACTCGTGACGCGGCCCCAGTTCTCACTCCCATTGCGAGTCCGGTTTCTAGAGAAGCCAATCAGCGTCACCGCCTTTCCGGTTATAAAGTTCCCGCAACCCGCCCGCACGCAGATCGTCCCCAGACCCCGAGGATGCGCATCATGGGCCCCGGGACCCTCCTCCTGCTGCTCGCGGGGGCCCTGGGCCTGACGGGGACCCGGGCGGGTGAGTGCGGGGTCGGGAGGGAACGGTCTCCGCGGGGGGAAAGCGAGGGGACCGCCCGGT